TACAAAACAGCTAGATCTGTTTCCGGGTCACGTTACGGCAGGTTGACACCGAAGATATCGACGCTATTGTATCTCGTGCTCGATATCTTGCGATCCTCTCGCATCGATTAGCATTGATTTGTGGATCATCGTGAATGGCTCGCGGGACTAGCGGCTAATGTCGATTTACTCAGACGTACGCGGATAGTTGTTATGAAGATCTTTCGTTTAGCAAACGATCAGCTTGGTCATTCGCCCGCGGCCATAAGAGATCGAGATCGTTCAGGTCCCACGTAGATCTCACGCATAGGATTCGTCATGCTTCAATATTTCAATAGTCAAGTGTATATCTGCGCTATCGCAACTGAACACTTAAGATTTGGTTGCGTAACGCACGGGGTGTCCGCAAAATACTAATCCGCCATGGCGTCAACGTTGAGAAGAAAACGGAACAATGGGTGTCATTCAAAGTTAAAATAAGTTCTGTAGAATTTGAATTCACGCTCTCCTTTCGCTGCTGGCTATGGCTTGTGTGGCTTTAATTGTATCGCAACGATCTCTTGTGAACCGAGAAAGACACCTGCGCGATCAACGAGAGCCGCAGCTGATATCCGAGTCTTCCAGATTACGTAACGATTCATGCCTAACAAAGTGTGGGACTCAATATATTCGAGCCGGTGAATGCGGGGACTCTTGGATTTAACTCTCGTATCTCTGTCTCCGACGAGCAAAATTGTATAAACGGTGAAGATAGGATCTACTTCGACCACGCCTTGAGAGAAGGATCGAACTGTCTCTTCCGTATACGTTCAAATCGTTTTTGACGTGTCCCGCGGGGATTAGCATAAGGTGCGTCTTGTATAGGCTTGTAGATTCTGCATTTTATTTACATAAAAGCATAATGAATAACAGAAGCTATCATTTGACACTAATGTAATGTTTAATATTAAATTTACAATTTTGCGATTTACATTAATTTATAACGTAATTTACAGCATAATTGTAGCATAAAGTTTTTTTAAGTTTATATTGATATATGTAAACGTATATTTTAACCTTCAGTACCCACAAAGGATTACCCGTAACCTCTCTTCCTCCCCCTCCCTCCGATTTTCATAGTTCAGATGTTTTTTTCCTTTTTCACTTATTACACAAAATATCTTTTGTGCTACGACATTTTTTTAACTCAAAAATTCTTTTTTTTTTAGTCTTCAAACGATAGATTAAAAAAAAATTAGTTAAAATCGATGCATTACAATCTAAGATCTAAGCAAAAGAAAACGGTGGATTACAAATACCTGGATGTGAGTAGATAAGGACTTTTTGAGATGTGAGTACTGAGGATTAATATTAAAATTTTATTTTAATATTTCTGATCTTTAATTTCTTTTTAATTTTCCTACGTTGTATAAATAAGATTGTAACAAACTGCAACCGCCCTCTTACTTTTTTCCACGTTACCTTCAATCTAATTTATAATAGATATTTTTACCTACAATAGATATATTCTTCTCTGTTATATTTTCTAACACACACACATATATATATATATGTATAGTGTTTTGCTATTTTTATCTGCTATAGATATTCTAATCTATATTTATATATTCAACTATTTCGATATATTATTATCATATTTTCTACTGTATGTACTGATAGTTACATATCGATAGTAGATAAATTTACTCTACTTTTTCGAAACTTTGTGGGTATTATCATTTATACTGCAGGAAGAAACTCATAGAGGGATACAAATCAGTTAAGAATGCTTTCCCACAATACAAGACTCATAAAATATTCTTGTCAAAAAATTCGAATTTCTAGATGCTAAAAGTGAAACAAATAAAAGTTGCTTCAGAGTGCTTCATTTTTTATTTCAGCCTAATTACTTCATTTAAAAGAAAAAACAGTTTGTGATTACAAATTCATCCTTGACAGTGAAAGTGTATATAGCCATGTTGCAAACGTATTAGACAGCTGATCGCGTGAAGATAACTAGAAAGGTTTTTTTCATTTATTTATGAGAGATTTCAATGTTTTAAGAAAGTACTTGATGCTTTCACCAGGAACATAGAATTTGAAGGCAATAAACTTGCCTATGATTGTTTCGAAGGAAATGCTTCTACATACTCGATTTTTAGACAGATCTGCATTATCGATCTGAACGGAAAAACGCCGGCGTATTATTTAGAAAATAAAAAAATATTAAAACTTCGCTTCTTCGTGCACCGTTCAAGGCAAGCCAGTGCGCGATTTCTATGATGTGAGCTGACTCACATCTCACACATAGTGTCTTCAGTATCGCCTCTCACCGTACTGTATAAGTTCCACGCAAATGTGTTAATGCGCGAGTTGTGAGGTCATACACCCACCTTCACAGGTGGTTCGTTTTTCATTCAAACCGTGCAGTTGTAAGACGAACGCGCGAGGATCTTTTAAGAACATCCGGTTAAGTCCAATAATTCTTTTCACACGATGATCATGAGGACGTTGTTCGCAGTTTATCCAGTGTCACTGGTGTTCGTATTCACGGTCACTGCCATTGGCAGTAATTACACAGATATTAATCTACCACACGAACATGTGAAGTATTATTTCAATTCTTTTCCCACGGCGGCAGAAAAATGCCACAATGATGCGGCGTGTCCATATAAGGTAAAATTATATTTAACTTTAATTTCTTGACATATTTTTGTTATTTGTATGATATATTTGAAACATATTTTATAAAATTTTATTTAGAAATTATAAGCATAATTTCTGTAAAGATTTCGCGCCTGCATAATAATATATATTATTTTTATTTCTGACTTACTTTTGTAAAAAAAAATTTTTAATCGTTTAATTTTTTTAATATAAATTATTAAGTAAAAATAATAAAAGTAAAAACGTTAATTTTACGATATATTCCAGGATAGTCTCGATAGCAAAGCTTGTTGGGGCTACGAGGAAGATTGCAAACCGGAAAACTCATTTTCCATTCCGCATTGTCCAGGTGATCATAAAGGATGGGTCGCTACAAAAAGAGCTCAATTGGACACATATTATGCACAAGGCGATTTTGGATATATACGCGACCAAAGAAAAGAGATGATGCTATTATGTGAACCATTATTTATAGTGAGTTTACTGAATTATAATATATACAGAGACAAGGTTTTATTGAAATATCTAAAATTTTAGTTAGATAAAATCTGAAAATAATTTTGTTGGATTATAATAAAAATAAATATTTTTGCAGTATCATGCTTGAGATTTCTGTGTAATTATTTTGATAGTCTAACAAAATTATTTTCAGATTTGTATATTTTACCTAAATATACAATTTGATGTATAAATGTACAATAAATGTACAATTCGATATTTTGATTGGATTCTATTTTTTTTAGGATGATTCATCCTTAGAGTGTTCGGAGCATATGAGATTCTGCAGAGCAAGAAACGTGATGCTAAATTTTACAGATTTGCTGAACCGAAAGGAACCTTTACGATACAAAATGGATGTATTAAAAGAAGGTCAAATTGGCGGTTACTGCACGTGAGTGAATATCAGCGAGCAAAGCAGATCAAGATCATCTGTGCGAGGAATTGGAAAGTATCTAACTTTCTCTTCTGCAATCAGGCTGAACGAAAAGAGATTACAGGAAAACGTGGATCATATTAGCCCGCTACAATCCTGGGGACCAGAATTACGAAACTTTCGAAAATTACTTCATCGACCGATTGTTCATGGCGATTGTGATGTCGTCATTGAGAAACCGACCTTCATCATGAAGATAGATGCTAGTAAGTAGGAAGACACTTGGAGAAAAAAGTCAAATGAATTACGATTCATATTCGTCACTTCGTTAAAGTCGCTTTGTTTTAGTAGTAAATATGTATCATCATTTTTGCGACTTTTTCAACCTATACGCATCATTGCACGTGAATCTCTCGCACCCATCTGCCTTCGATACAGACAATCATATAATGATTTGGGAAAGTTATAGGTAACGAGTATAGAAACGAAATATAAAACGAAATATAAAACGGCACAAACAAAAAATAAAAACTACAAATTATTAGATATCAAACTACATCTTGCTTTCAGCTATCGATCGGCATTCCAAGACACCTTCGAAGCATTTACAAGAAATCCATTATGGGACTTAAAAACATTTCGAGGCGAAACAGTGTGCTTCAAGAACTTGGTGTTTCCTCTATTGCCGAGAATGATATTTGGACTATATTACAATACGCCACTTGTACTAACATTGTATATCCTTTCACCGAGATGCTCCATATTCCGAGAAAGAATATTAATTATGAGAAAATATATGTTTTAGATTTACGGCTGTGAAAAATCTGGATTGTTCAAAGCCTTTGGCGATCATGTGTTGCATCGACTTCAAATACCTCTTCATCTAAGAAAAGATCGGAAGATTCGAATAACATTGCTAAGCAGAGATACTCAATACAGAAAGATCTTAAATGAAAATGAATTAGTAAAAGCTTTAAAGGAGAATCCAGAATATAAAGTTAATAAGGTAAAATTTTAGCGGAGATATTTGACTATATATCTTTAAGTGTATTTAACTTTATCTTATGTTGTATTTATGTCATCGATACTTTTATACAGTTACAAATTTGTATTAAATTTAATACATTTAATATAATTTAATATATTTCATATGTTTCAAATGGTCCACTCAAATTTTTGTATTAATTTGACATAAGATAAATATGTTAGGAAGTAACACAAACATTATATAAAAAAATTAACATCCACTAACATCATTTGTAAATATGGAAGCACATTTTTTCAGTAAAATTATCATTTATACAATAATATTTTATATTAACATATTTTATTCGTTTATCTTAAAATTTACGTTTTAAAATACATTTTTATGTTATTTGTTCACTTATTCATAAATCGTGTTATTTTAATACTAAAAAATGTTGAATTTTAATTTCACGCAAAATATTCAAATAACATGATCACATTAAATTAAAATTCAGATATGTTAAAAATTCAACGAAACAAAAATTTTAACAAAGAACAGTTTTAACACAAACACAAAATATTTTTTTACTGTGTAGATAGTGTACAACAAAAATGTTTCATTCAAAAAGCAATTGGAAATCACTAGGAATTCCGATATTTTTATCGGTATTCATGGCGCCGGCTTAACACATTTAATGTTTCTGCCGGATTGGGCAGCGGTATTCGAAATGTAAGATTTTTCAAATTTAAAAATTATATTTTTGCAAATACTATAATCAAAAAATTTCAATATTTTTCACAGATATAATTGCGAAGATCCTAATTGTTACAAAGATCTTGCACGGTTGAGAGGTGTAAAATATTTCACATGGAAAGATACATCAAAGTTAATGCAACAAGATCCGGTACATTCGTACAGATTACTT